CGTCAGCCTGAGGACTGAAGGGTTCGAGGTTCAATTCCGGTCAAGGGCACATGCCTGGGTTGCAGGTTCAATCCCCAGTGGGGGGCATGCAGGAGGCAGCTGATCAATGATTCTCTCTCATCATTGATGTTTTTATCTCTCTCCCTCTCCCTTCCTTTCTGAAATCAATAAAAATATTTTTAAAAGATAAAGTTGTGCCCTGACCGGTTTGGCTCAGTGGATAGAGCATCGGCCTGCGGACTCAAGGGTCCCGGGTTCGATTCCAGTCAAGGGCATGTACCTTGGTTGCGGGCACATACCCAGTGGGGAGTGTGCAGGAGGCGGCTGATCGATGTTTCTCTCTCATCGATGTTTCTAACTCTGTATCCCTCTCCCTTCCTCTCTGTAAAAAATCAATAAAATAAAAAAAGATAAAGTTGTATTAAAACTTGGTATTCATGTAACTACTAAAGAACTAAAAGTCTTTGACACATTTTTATACAAAGTAAAATTCAAATCAAGTACTCAAGTAACGTAGAAGGAAAAGGAAAATCAGTCTCAGAGAGAGGCGTATGTACATTGACAAGAAAAAGAGAAAACGTGAAATTTATCATATTTCCTCTTTCAAAATCAGATTTAGATACAAATTTCCTATGGCTCCCATACCTGCATCCTAACTCTATCCTCCACCTTGACCTATCTGCAAAACTTTCCAAGTCTTAATTTGAATGTGTCTATTATATTGTCTGTACCCTCATAAAGCATCTCCATTAAGATATAGACGGGTATCAATAGTATGTGTACAGTCTCCTTGCATTAGCTTAATATTAGAAATATAATAAACCCCTAAAGTCAATTCATACATGTTATACATGGGAGCAATATCATGTAGGGATTAAGAGCAAGGGCTGTGGAGGGTCCCAATCAGTTCTGCCACTTACTATATGATATTAACTTAATCTTAATCTTGGGGACTCTTTTCTCTAATTCCTCCTTCATCAGGTAAACAAGGTAAATTGGGAAAGGAATTCAAAACATCCAATACAGAGCCTAGCTACTATGTTAACATGTGTGTTTTTTTTAAAATATTGAATGCATTGGGGTGATATTCGTTAATAAAATGACATAGGTTTCAGCTGTACAATTCTATGACACATCATCTGTATATTGTATTGTGTGTTCGCTACCCCAAGTCAAGTTTCCTTCCAACACCATTTATCCTCCCTTTACCCTCTTCTACCTCCCTAATCTTCCTTTCCCTCTGGTAATCACCATACTGGTTTGTGTGTGTGTGTGTGTGTGTGTGTGTGTGTGTCTATTAGCTTTTTCTTTTTCTTTTCTGTTAATTTTGTTTTATTGCTTAAAGTATTACAAAGAGTATTACATGTCTCCTCCCCTTGACCTTCCCTTGGCCTCCCCTACCCCCCAGTGTCTTGTGTCCATTGGTTATGCTTATATGCATGCATACAAGTCTTTAGGTTGATCTCTTACCCCCGCCCCCCGCCTTCCCGCTGAAGTTTGACAGTCTGTTCAATGTTGCTCTGCCTCTGTATCTATTTTTGTTCGTCAGTTTATAATGGTCTTAATTATCCATAAATGAGTGAGGTCATGTGGTATTACTCTTTCATTGACTGGCTTATTTCACCTAGCATAATGCTCTCCAGTTCCATCCATGCTGTTGCAAATGGTAAGAATTCCTTATTTTTTACGGCAGCATAGTATTCCATCGTGTAGATGTACCACAGTTTTCTAATCCACTCATCTGCTGATGGGCACTTAGGCTGTTTCCAGATCTTCGCTATGGTAAATTGTGCTGCTATGAACATAGGGATGCATATATCCTTTCTGACTGGTGTTTCTGTTTTCTTGGGATATGTTCCTAGAAATGGGATCACTGGGTCAAATGGGAGTTCCATTTTTAACTTTTTAACATGTGTTTAGTATGGAAGTAATTGCTCTGTACTAATCAGCTATCAGATGGTTGAAGAGTTCAGGGGATGATAGAAAGGGGAAGTAGGATAGGCAGCTGACAGGTCCTGAAGGGTGAATGGTATCTGAGGCTAAGCACGGAGAAGCCAGTGGAGAAGTAACCTCATTAATGCGGTTGGGGAGAGGGTACAAGGGCACATGCTGGGGAGGCTTGGAATACCTTATGGCAAAGGGAAATCAGACCTGCCCTTCCCTCCCAAAATTCTATAGAAGATAATGCTAATATGTAATTAGACCCACAAAAGTGCTAAGCAATCTTGTGTTTAGGGGCCAAAATACGTGGCTAGACCAGTGGTTCTCAACATGTGGGTCGCGACCCCTTTGGGGGGGTCGAACGACCCTTTCACAGGGGTCGCCTAAGACCACCGGAAAACACATATATAGTTACATATTGTTTTTGTGATTAATCACTATGCTTTAATTATGTTCAATTTGTAACAATGAAAATACATCCTGCATATCAGATATTTACATTACGATTCATAACAGTAGCAAAATTACAGTTATGAAGTAGCAACGAAAATAATTTTATAGTTGGGGGTCACCACAACATGAGGAACTATACTAAAGGGTTGCAGCATTAGGAAGGTTGAGAACCACTGGGCTAGACGATGAATTTCTTCCCACAGGCAGAGGAAGAACAAACAGAACAAGTAGAAGCTAATACCAGGAGTGCAGGACTCAGGCACCTCCCTTGGGAGCAGCAGCAACAGACAAGCAATGAACACAAATGTTGTTCTCATACCCACAGCTGCTGCTGCCTCTAACCTGCATACTGAGAAGGAGGTAGCAGGGAGTGTGCTACTAGCACCAGCTTTATTACAAACTTGTCTCCCATCTTCCCAAAAAGTAAGCAGATTCAATCAGTATGCTTCACCACGAGCATGTGGAGATGAAGAACTACCGTATAAGTACTTTCAGGAAGGAAAACAAAGGGGACGGCCACCCTGTTTTTAGACGATACGATCACAAATCATACTAGGTGACTTCCTTAAATTAAATAAAGGCATATTCCAGACTCCCCCACCCTGCCCCAACTACCCCAACCCTGCAAGGTGAGGAAGCTTAAATGAGATAAGTTTTGGAGTTGTATTTGGATTGTTCATTGATGAAAGGGCAAGTTAGAATCAATTCATCTAATAATTTATCAAACAGTTACAATATGAAAGATTGAGGAAATATAAATATAAAACAGCCTTTTCACTTTTACACATTCTTCATAACTTCCAGTATATTTTAGCTCTGAAAAGAGGTGGACAAAGTGGAAATAAAATCCAAACCTGTGTGAGCAACTTTTATAAAAGGTTTGTGTGAAAATAAGTCTGTTTTAGGCCAAAAGAAACATATATATACAGATTTCATTTGCCTAGGATAACATTAATCTTCTTGGGTAATCCCAAATTAGATTGTTATAATTAATGAAATAATAATTCCAAAACCTTCCACAAGTATTTGTGCATGTATGCCTTTATGTTGCTCAACTATATAACCTAACATGTTTTTTAAAAAGGTCTAAACACCAGAAAAAATATATATATATATATATGATATCTACCCATCTTACTAAGGGCTACCTAGAGATAGCCAAGAGTGATTGGTTCCTTCACAAACTCACTTAGCACTATTGTGAACATTTTTACTGCTTGTTCAAACTTTTACTGAAGTGCAGCTTCAAGCGTTGAAGTGTGTCAAAGCTCCTAGTTTTGTAATTTTATAGCTCTTTAATAACAATGACATTAGAAACACAAAGTGTATCAATTTCCTTGGGGCTCAAACAACACGGAGTTTCAACATCTTTGCTACTGAGTGTAAAATGATCAAACTTGTTTCAATTTATACAGTACTTGCCAATACAGATGTAGTAATCCACTAGGTGATTTACTTGTTTTATCTTTGGCAAGCTGCTTATCTTATATAGCCCGTTAACACACAGTTACTGAATAGTGACTTATAGTAGCACCACTCATTCATTCCATAACTACTTACTGAGCACCTTTACTCCACATTCACAATGTGTAAGGTACTCGGTCTACCAGAGAGAAATGACCTGGACCTGGAGTTGACAGTCTACAGAGCTGAGTACATGTATGCAGAGAGGCAGCCCGAACACAGGCTTCAGGACCAGGAGCCACCAAAACCCAGCCCAGGCGCAGCTCCAGCTCCCACTACCCAGCTGAGCGCCCGTGGGCAGGTCCCTTCGCCAGGCTCCAGCTCAGCCTCGACTGCCCAATCCGTAAACTGTAGGTCTGCACCGGGCAGTCACACCCTTCCCAGCGCTAAACAGTCTCGAGGTCAGCGACTACAGCGTCGCAGGCCACTGCGCTTCAGCGGCCTAGCAGAGCAGGTCGCTGGATGCACGAGGCAGCGAGGGCCCGACGATTCCCCGAAGGCGCCTTCTCACTCGTCGGCTGCCTCCGCAAGCCTCCGTGGCGGGGCGGGAATCTGCGTGATGGAAGCAGAGAGCTGCCGCAGCCTCCTTCCCTCCCGGCACCCCGAAGAGCTCCAGGGGCAGCTCTTCCCTCCCTTCAAGGCAGCGAACTCTGCGTCGGCCTCGCGAACCCGGCTGA